TGCAATAGTTTGATGACATAATGTAGGTGATATTTAGTTGTCAGGGAACAGGGAATGCATATTGTAGCATTCTGCTGTGTTTGGCTGTTTGTCATGTGACTGCAGTGGAGGATTGTGGGTAGGATTCATGTTTGTTGTTGTTAAATCATTTTAGAGAATTGGTTAACATTGTTCTTTCAGCAATTAGTCTGTTGTGTTACTGTAATTTGTGTGTTCATTATTTGTTAACTTGTGTTAAAGCGTTCAGCAGAAGTAACCATAAGTGAGAGTGGTAGGCCTAGTCATTAATAAGACCTGTGAGTTTCACTTTGTCTGTGTTGTTCATGAGGAAGAATCCAATAAAGGTTCTTCAAAACTGCCACCTGGTGGTGAAGTGTTGAACTACAACATGAGCTACACCTCTCTGTAGCTGTGAGGTGTCATGCTACAACATTGTGCTTGACGCATGTGCACTGTTATAAAAACTCGTAAGGTTTACTTGAAAAAATCCTCGTAACAATTTACACTAACATTGGTTAAGTAAATTTAAATGTTACAAATTCAAGTAATATTTACTCATCATTATCTAGTAAAAGTTATTAAGAATATAGTTAAATATTTGTGAATAAATCAGGTAAATTTTTCTTAATTTGATTAAGTATTTGTTACAAGATTCAATTGAGCAAATTAAGTAAAATTTTCCTGATTTATTCACAAATCTTTAACTATATTTTTAATAACTTTTACTAGATAATGATGAGTAAATATTACATGAATTTGTAGCATTTAAATTTACTTACCAAACATAAGTGCAAATTTGTTAGAGGATTTTATTCAAGTACATCTTACAAGTTATTTTTTTCAGTGTAGGAGGGTCTTGGGTGGAGTTTGGGAAAATCGTGATTGACAGACTTTGAGGGAAATTTTTCGATGTGGGTGGAGTTTAGAAAATAGTCAAAAAATCTTCCATGTGGGCGGAGTTTCAGAAAACTGATTGGTGGGATTGACTTGCAGGGGAAGTTAAAAGATTTAGTACTGACCGGCTGTTGGTGTAAAATGGTAATTTATAAAATGACTGTGAAACTGTAAATACAATTTACTTATTTCATATTTGGTGTTATTAGCACATTCCTGTCTGCATACTGTATAATACTAATGTTCATATTCAAAAATAGAAACCTTTTTATTGGTGCTTTCTAGCTGTTATAACCAAGCCAAAGTGTTGTTCGGTGTTCATCCAACTGAATCGATACGGTTTCGTCAAACCCCACCCAAAATTTTCAAACTGACCAAACACGTCTTTCACAAAGTAAGTAAACTTCAGACCAGTGGTTCCCAAAGTTGGGGTCGGGACCCACAGTGGGGTCCCGAAATATCAAGGTGGGGTCCTGAAAAGATTTTCTGTATTAATTACACAAAAATTACAACTGTCAATAACTTTTTGCCTTTTTTGTTACAAAAAAATAAAGTTAGTTAACTTAAAATGGACAAAAATAGCGTAATAAATATTGTTACTATGCTCTTGTTTATTTGACGTAAAAACAATGTTCATCAACCAACAACAGCTGGGGTCTCGGGTCTCTGCTGCTGGCATTTTGTGGGTCAAAAGCTGAAAAGTTTGGGAACCACTGCTTTAGACAAACTATTTAAACCAACACTACCTAAATCACAATCTCAGTGGCCTACCTCCAAATCCTAAAACTTAAATCTACAAACTCAAGAGTCAGATGTGACGGTTGATCAAAATCCATCCAGTGGTTTATGGGATATTTTGCTAACAATCAAAAAGGGTTACCTTTTAAAGTTAATGCCAACGTTTTAACCAAATGCAAACATGTTGGGGTCGAGGCTCAGCTACTGCCACACCAAATTTTATCACATCTGTTTTCTAAGGTCATCGGCGGCCATCTTGAAACAGATCACATTAGTGTTATAGTTTTTTTTTAATTCTACAAACACAAAGGCAAAACCATAAAGTTGATATTTAAAAAAATTTTTTTTGTTTGTTAGTTGATGATAATTCTTGAGTTTATTTGAGTTTTTCTGCACTGGCAGCTGTTTTGTTTTGGAAAAATGTGTTTCTTCTTTCAGTTCAGTTGCTTTCTGCCCGTATGGGCTGAATTTCTGGAAAACTATTTTTGTCGTTCATGTCTAATTTCCTCCCTCTGTGTATTTTTGCACTCAGTATCTGTTGCCAAACTCTTATAATTTTCTTTCTCTGTCCTGCCCTCCTGTTAACCAAGCTGTTGTTACCAGTTTTAGTTCTGTCAAGTTGTCCTTCTTTCTTTTCCAGCATCCTCGGCTTTTCATTTTCTTAATTAAAAACTTTTGTTCGTTTTCACAGTCTGCATGCTTAATCGTGGATCGTGACATAAATTGGATTCGTCTGCGTCCTCTTCCTAAGGACAAAGTGAGGACAGATTTTTTTTGCTGCCTCTGTTTTAATGGGCAGTAACATGGTGACACCACTGCTTGTCCTGTGTTGACATCCTTTCCGTTTTGTTTGGAGCCTCGGAGGCTTCGGTGCCTGTTAAGCTGCAGAACATCTTCCCACTCGTCCTCTCATGACTATCAATTTTATTAACAGCAGCCCCGAAGCATCCTCCCAGCATGTTGCTCCGTCTTATGACAGGAAACCTTTTCTACTGTTACTTTATGGCCTCCTGACACATTTTGCACAGCGCCAGTAATAGAGCTTACCTTCCATTCTCCTTCGAGCTTTGCCCCCAAACCTCCAATTTGTCTTTCTAAGACTGGACGTTTTTCTGGTGACAATGAGGAATTTTTATGACCGTGCTGATATCATCACATTTCTGCACCCCCACCAAGCACATCTCCCAAGGCACCACTTACAGGAAAATGAATTATACATCACAATAGAACTGGGATGGACTCTCTGCAGTCAACTTCAAGCCAATTTGCCCCAGCATGACTTGGCTCGTGTCTCCAGCCAGCCGTGCTGAAGACGACCTGCCAGCATCCTTTTACTTTCCAGCTTGTTTTTTTCCCCCCCTTTCGCTCGTGTTAATTATACATCTCCAGAAAGAAGCTGGGGAAGTTGTGTAGCCTGTCAAGCCTAACCCTGATTGGGAAAAAAGGGCCAAAAATAGCTTGTCATATCCAAGCCGATACATTTTGTAACACATATGGAAGAGCCGCAGCCTTAAATGATTCAGAGATTTAGAGGAACAGCTCAGGCATAAATCCAACAGATACCCTGGTGGATTGTCAAAAGTGATGGGGTTGCAGTTTTGTAAGCAAGAGACACAAGCAATAAGTCAGTAAAATTACATTTGGAAGAAAGGTTTGCATATTTCAAGGCAATCTTAAAGCAATTGTCCAGCATCTTGTGTGTGAAATAAGCCACTGTCTGTAATATTTTCACTATAATCAAACATTTCCATATCTCTCATAAAGGCTCAGCAGTCCTTGAAGAAATATATAATGCCCACTGCCTTTTTGTGTCAGAGTTTTTAAACCAAAATCATTTTATAATGAGAAGGAATGGAGCTGCAGCCATTTTGGTCAAACATCATAAATGACATTCACTGGTTATTGAGATAGTTCGCCAACAGAGCTCAGACTCATGTGTTGGGAAGGACTCTCAAAATTGTAAAAATTGTACAACCAAAAAGCAAATAGAATAGATGGCATAATCAAAAAGGAGTGAGTATAAGCATAGCTTATTATACCTCACCCCTTTGTTTCTCTCTCTCTCTCTCTCTCTCTCTCTCTCTCTCTCTCTCTCTCTCTCTCTCT